ACGACAGCAACTTGTCTGTTCCCCTTCCCCCAATTCCTCAGCGCTGTTCCCATCCCTCAATTCCCCAATAAAAACCTTTAAAAAAAAATAAAAACATCCTGATCCTCTGGGTATACTGTTGGAGGCCTCCATCTTTTCACTGATTTGTATTTTTTAATGAATATTCAGAGAACAAAGGAAGACATAGATAAAGGGAACTGGGGAGGAAATAATGCGTACACATTTGTAGTCAAACTATATGAGACTCAAAAAAAAAATTAGTTCTTAGAGGCTCAGTTTTCTCATCTCTAAAATGAAGATAAGGACACTTTTTTGAATAATGAAGCAGGGCAATTTCAGTGTCTGTACATGGTAGACAATCATATTTTGAATATTAATATTTTTATGATGATGATTATAATGATTGGTATCACTTAGGTTACAAATAAATTGCTGTTACTTGTGAAATCTTATGATGATTTTCTATCCAACATATCTCTGTAATAGTACTTGAGGAATGTACTCTGGATCACCATACTGTTGCAAATATACTACAGAACACATCACAGAAAGTGCCTGATGTGTGGAAAAATTTTTAATCATGTCAAAATAAAATTATCATTAGGTAGAATTTGAAGAGATAATAGGATGAATTCAAGCAACGTATTTAATCAGCATTCATTTTTAAAGACTTTAATTTTAGTTGTATTGACATAAAGTAGTTGCTATAACCCTCTTTTTCTGTTGCCTTTTGACTGTCCTTCAGTTTTTTTGTTGTTGTTTCTTTGTTTTTAATAGGGGAACAGTGTGCTTTTCCAGGACCCATCAGCTCCAAGTCTAGTAGTTTTTTCAATCTAGTTGTGGAGGGCACATCTCAGTGGCCCATGTAGGGATCGAACCTGCAAACTTGGTGTTATGAGCACTGTGTTCTAACCAACTGAGCTAACCAGGCGCCCCTGCCCCCTTTATTTTTTGTTTAGGAGCATAGTCTTGATTATAATATAGACTTGGTACTATTTTGCAGTGTTTAAAAATACACTGCCAAAAATGGACTAACAATTATGGAAAATAAATTCAGTTACTCTTCATTTTCTAAGTAAAGCCATTCTAATTTCTACCCCAAAATCTATCCATTATTATTAGAAAACCGTGACAAACTGAATATTTTCCACATTACACTCACATTATATATGGGAAAAGAAAATGTACCTTATCAGTAGCTACCTGATTATATATAAAATTGGTCAGCAAAGCAAATATCCATTCCCCTTGTACCCTGCCATTTTTTCCCCCAATACAAGCCTACCTTTCTGCTGATTAAATTTGCAGGGATATGTGTAACCTAAGGCCTAAGCAGACCAGGTGTGTATATTCTAATTCAGACTCACTCTGAAAATATGAACCCAGATTATTTCTAATTCAATAAACTAAGAAAATGTATTTTAAACATATGCCAACTCAGACATAATCAAAATTAAATCTTAATATTTTTAGAATTTATGTAAATAATAACAATCAACAAATACATTTGTATGCTTATAAAGTTCCAGGCTTTTTTTTTTAATTAAAGTTTATTGGGGTAGCAATTATTAGTAAACTTACTTAGTTTTCAAGTGTACTATTCTGTAATATATCATCTATATATATCACATTGCGTGCTCACCACCCAGAGTCAGTTCTCCTTCCATCACCATATATTTGATTCCTTTTACCCTCATCTACCACCCTCTCTCCCCCTTACCCTCTGGTAACCACTAAACTATTGTCTGTGTCTATGAATTTTTGTTTCTTCATTTGTTTGTCTTGTTCCTTTGTTGCTTTCAGTTTTATATCCCACATATCAGTGAAAGCGTGCGGTTCTTGACTTTTTTCTGTCTGACTTATTTCACTTAGCATAATCTCACTGATGTCCATTGCAACTTTATTTATGGTGGCCAAGACATAAAGTTCCTGGCTTTATGTTAAATGCCTGTTAATATCAGAATACCCCCAACCCCTCAAAGACTAAGATTCCAATTTTTCATAGGAGGAGATTAATGAATTCAAACTACTTTATACATTTTTTTTTCTTTTCAGAATAAAGCTGAAAGAGAGGGATCAGATTGTTCTTGGGAAGCAGTTAAAGAAAGTATAAGATCCCAAGAGGTCAGAATCCTTGCAGAAAAAACAAGAACTTTTATACACTTGTCTCAGAACCATTAATCAGATCAAAATTTCCATTTTTCATTTATATGTCTATGTTAGCAGGGCATTTATTCTTTTAATAAGTGACAAAAATGGTGTATAATTTTAGGTATTATGTGTTCATATGTGTTGATAGAATGATATTTTATATTTTTGGAGCATTTTCATCAAATAATGTGGATAAAAGATGTGATATATGCACCATTTTTGTGAAGCTTATCATATTCTCTTAGGAAAATACAAAAATGTGATATATAGAATAAAAATCATTTTAGGGCATTGCAGATGAGATATTACCATGTAGTTTTGATACAGACTTTATTCATAATAGTAATAATAGTAATAATTAATGTAATTGGATTTGCTAAAATGTAACAACCTTTCTCACAATTTCATGAGGATAATTATCTTTTATTTACCAATAACATTACATTGATCTAGAATGGAAAAGATTTAAACTACTTTTATAAGTAGTTTAAAAATATAAATGCTTATTTCATAAAAATAATTGCTGTCCAATAACTCATACCCAACTTAATTGAGGTTTTAAATTATAGGTTGCTTATTCTTACATTATATTATAAGTTATTATTTATTTTTGATAAAAAGCAATGGCTAATACTTTTTGCCCTTTTGTATGCTTTTTGTTATCAGTCTATAGCTAGAGAACAAAAATAAAAGGAGGATAAACTGAAAAGTTGACTATGGAGTAATATTAATGGGTAAAACTAGTTTTGTTTTTAATTAATTTTTGTCAGTAGACCCGTTCATTTAAATTTGAGTCATAGTCAAGGATGTTTGAGAAACCAAAAATGATTGCTATATGGTCCTGTGTTGTAAACATAAGTTCCATAATTTCATGTCTATGTCATTATCCCAGTAAAACATTAACACTCATTGGCTATTAAGTAATTGGAATGCCATTATTCTGAAAT